ACGCTCGATAATGTCATATGCCATTGCAATTATTGACTGTTTAGGATCCCTGAATTCCATTCCAAGAATCGTTTTGGCCTGAAAAAATTGTGGAACCCGCTTAATCCCAAAGTTAGCAACTAGTGCTGACTGACTCGTCAGTGAGTGTGGTACTCGCTGGCTTAGACGATTTTGTGACGATGCCAAAAGTCAACTGTTCTAAGACAAAAATGCCTGGTATTGTTGCGCTTAATTTTGTGCCGGTTGAAGGCACAATGTGGATTTACAACAAAAAATCTCAGTGTTGCTTCGGGAAGAAAAGGGAGACAACATCACTTACTCGAGAATTATCGAAATTCGACTGTTTGCCGATTCGACTGAGTACCTGCGCAGCTTCCTTGTCAAAAAATGAATAACACCAAATAATCGGATATGGTACCACAAATCTTGGAATGTAGTAGCCTAAACCAGTAAAATATTCTTCAAAGTATTTGTTCAATTTTTACGCGTTTTTGCATGTATGCAAACTGCAGTCTGTGCGTGTGTGTGCATGTTGTGCGTGTATGTGTGTGTGTATGTTGTGCGTGTATGTGTGTGTATGTTGTGCGTGTGTTTGTTCGCCTGCCCGGGTATTTAAACTCGGCAACCAACCAAGCTCCGGCGCCAAAATTTCGCCGGTGGGCCCCAGGCCAGGTGTAACTCCAGGACAGCGGTACCAACTGTCACGCACGTCTGGCCCCCGCGTGCGGGCCGGTGAAAGTTTTGACGGGAAAATTGCTAACTCGGGAACGAGAAAAGCTGGGAAGCTGAAATTTCGAGGCTATGTTCCCCGTCCACATATAGAACTCAGAGATTTCAAATTCAGACCCTAGGTGTGCGTAATTACCGCGTACGGCCCCGTGAGGGTTCATGGCAGCAATATTGTTAACTTGGAGACCAGGAAAGCTAGAAGGCTGAAATTTTAAGGGGATATTCCCGGCCCATGCATAAATTAAAGCTATCAAATTCAGCCACCAGGCGTGCGTGGTTCTCACGTATGCTCCCGTGAAAATTTTTGGCGGGGAGAACTGCTAACTTGGGGACCAGAAAAGCCAGAAAGCTGAAATTTTAGAATATTTCCTGTCCAAATGCAACTTAAGGGTTCAAAATCCAACCTTCAGGTACGCGTGGTTCTCGTGTACGGGCATTTAAATGTCTTGGCGGGGAAAATGGTCGTTGAACAGCTGAGTCATTCTCAAAAAACGATCGCTAAACGGAAATTGTTTGTTTTCGTTTATGTAGATCTGCGATTATGAACAAATTTAATTCTTTGGACACAAAATTTTGCAAAAAATGGACAAATATTTGCATATAAACCCAGGCTGGAACGCACCAAGCGAGCCGATGCGATCATGATTTTTTGCAACAAGCTTGAAACAATTAGGTTAACTGCATGAATGGTTGTTTCTTCACACCTACATTGTGCGTTCAGTTCAAAATGCTTAAAGAATATTTGCACAATCGTCTTTTACGCTCAGCCGAAAGCAAAACTTATACTGAGCCGTTCAAGAAAGGGCAATCTGCATGCAAAAAGACTGTGGTAATACAGAGTGCTGATCATTTTTGCTTAATCATTTTTTTTTAAATTCATGAAAAAAGAAACCTTGTGATGAGAATTCGTGTCGTAAAACATTGGCAATATCGATGAACCAGAAGCTGGGCTGTGAAGTAACAAGGATTCGTTGCCCATCACTACGTGGTTCACACATGGCACGAATATGCGCCAGCGCAACATCACGCACATCAACAAGCCCAAACTGTACCGCCGGTACTGCTGGCATCTCGTTGTTCAAAAAACGTCGAATTATCTAAAGATTTTCAAAGAATTTTTTATGACTACCACAAAATTAACAGAGTTAGCCGGGGCAAGGATACCAAATTCAAGCCTGGAAGTTGCATGTACAATAGCTGGTAGGCGCAAATTTCACAGCATTGTCGATGTCGTCAAAGTGCCGAGTTGTAAAATAGGACCGGTGGTGAAAGAGGCTATGGAGGCCCAATCAAGAAATAATCATACGAAAGAGGTATGTCTGCGTTGTGCTAGACGAGGGTTGATAATGAAAAGCACAGTAGCAAGAATGACAGTGTGAAATATGTAGATCAAAAAA